GCATCAAGCTTGGATTTCAGAGGGTTCCAGTTTGCCCAGGCTATGCTATTTGCCGTAGAGGAGATTAATAACAGCACGGACCTATTGCCTGGCATCTCTCTGGGCTATAGGATCTATGATTCCTGTGGCTCAATTGCCAAAAGTGTGAGGGTTGCATTGGCCTTTGCAAATGGTAATGAAGTTGTATCACAACCCTCTGAAGTACCATGTACAAGACCTGCCCAAGTGCAGGCCATTATGGGAGAACGTTCTTCCTCTCCTTGCATGGCTATGGCTACTGCCATCGGACCCTTTCATATTCCAATGGTGGGTATTGTTTGATATTATTAATATTCAACTATTACAACTATGTATAGCAAAACGGATTGTAGTTGGCTGTATAATTACTTTATATTCTGAATCTTTACCTTGGGATATAACTTGTTTTTTTCTTTTAGATCAGCCACTTTGCTACTTGTGCCTGTCTCAGTGATAAATCCAAGTACCCATCCTTCCTCAGAACAATACCCAGTGACTACTACCAGAGCAGAGCCCTGGCACAGCTGGTTAAGCATTGTGGTTGGACTTGGGTTGGAGCTATTAGAACAAATGATGATTATGGAAACAACGGTATGGCCACATTCACAGAAACAGCCCAGCAGCTTGGCATCTGTCTTGAGTACTCTGTGTCCTTCTTTAGAACCGATCCACCAGACAAAATACAAAAGATAATTGACATTATCAAGGCTTCCACTTCCAAGGTGATCATTGCTTTCCTCTCCGGCATGGATTTGGATGTGATACTACATGAATTTTCTCACCACAACTTGACTGGGTACCAGTGGGTAGGCTCTGAGGGCTGGATCTTTGATTCACAAATTGCAGCCGTGGATAAGCATCACATTCTAGACGGTGCTATAGGCCTGTCCATCCCCAAAGCACATGTCAGTGGCATGAGGGAGTTCATGTTGGATGTGAGGCCGCTCAATGTATCTAGTAATGAAATGTTTACAACGTTTTATGAGACATTATTTAGTTGTAAGTTCAAGCAGTCAGAGTCTTCATCAAGAAATCAGAAAGAATGTACTGGACGTGAAGATTTGACTGTAGTACAAAACATCTTCACCGATATGTCTCTGATGCCTATCTTTAACAATGTATATAAAGGAGTGTATGCTGCGGCCCACGCACTTCATTTTATCCTCAGCTGTAACAAAACATGTAACACCAAGGTGCAGCTAGATCCATTTACGGTGAGTTGAACACCAATGTTACTGAAGTTTTTACATCAAATCACATCAACAAGGAACATGTTTATGACATTTTAACTTTTGCTGTCTATCATGCTGTTAAAACACTTGGACTACAACACATTCTTCAAATTATGTTCTGCATTGACGGATATTTGTTTTTAGATTTTACAGCACATAAGAACTATTCAGTTTAAAACAAAGGAAGGAGAAGAGGTTTACTTCAATGAAAATGGAGACCCAGCAGCAAAGTATGAAATTATAAATTGGAAGCCAAGAGAAAATGACATTGTGGACTTTGTCACAGTTGGCCTTTATGATGCATCTTTACCTGCAAACAAACAGCTAAATCTGCAAAATGTGTCTATAACTTGGACACAGAACTCCCAACAGGTAAAATACTCTAAGATCACTGTCGTTGCTAATTACAGTCTTTTTTTTCATTATAAATATGAAATTGACACTGTTAGTCATGCACGTCATAATGTATGTTTTTTGTGCATAAACATTTTAAATAGAAATATGCAAAGGCAACACCTTATTCAAGGTGAATGCCCATCTTTTTTCTTCTCATAGTCGATTTGATCCCACAGGTGCCTGTGTCAGTTTGTAGTGAAAAATGTCTTCCAGGAACTCGCAAGGTTCTTCAAAAAGGAATGCCTGTCTGCTGCTATGACTGTATAAGATGTGCAGAGGGAGACATCAGCAACATTACAGGTGTAGTTACATGAATGCAAGACAAAACATTTATTGTTCATTTTAAGAAATTGCAGTGGATTTTTTATGTGATTTCGAAACCATGCAGTCCTTTAAGAAGAAAAAAACAAAGTATTGTTACATAATTGCAAATGATATATATACAGATACTTTGACACAAGTCTGAAGTCAGCTATATAAATATATGCAAAAGTCTTCCTAAGGATTAATGCATTATGTTAAAGCACCAATGTAAAATAAATGTTTCTACTTCAAGTCTAACTAAAATAAATCATTTCATTATTCATAGAAATTCATAGAAATCCCTGGGAAGAACTTGTGCTTGTACAAATAAGCAAAATATTGTATATACTTATTATGTGCTGTACTGTCTTGTATGCTTAGAAAAGATGCAACGTAGGGACAAATACAAAATTAAAACATAATTATACTTAATGTTTACCACATTTTTTTCTTCAGATTCTGTCACCTGTGTGCGGTGTCACCCTGAGTTCTGGTCAAATGAAAGAAGAGATGCCTGTGTAAAGAAGGAGGCAGAGTTTCTGTCATATGAAGAGATTATGGGAGCGCTGCTCACTGCAGCATCCTTATTTGGAACATGCATCACAGCTGTTGTGGCATTCATTTTCTTCAGATACAGGAAAACTCCAATTGTCAGGGCTAACAACTCTGAGCTGAGCTTCCTGCTGCTCTTCTCCTTGACTCTGTGTTTCCTGTGTTCTCTGACCTTCATCGGTCGGCCCTCAAATTTGTCCTGCATGCTGCGACACACAGCATTCGGCATCACCTTTGTCGTCTGTATCTCTTGTGTTCTGGGGAAAACTATAGTGGTGCTAATGGCCTTCAGGGCTACACTTCCAGGCAGTAATATGATGAAGTGGTTTGGGCCTGCCCAGCAGAGACTAACTGTTCTGGGTTTTACTCTAATACAAGTAATGATATGTATCCTCTGGTTAACAATTTCTCCTCCTTTTCCTTTTAAGAATCTTAAAGACTTCAAAGACAAAATACTCTTTGAGTGTGCTTTGGGCTCAGCTTTGGGCTTTTGGTCTGTACTTGGGTACATAGGACTACTGGCCATTTTATGTTTCATTCTTGCTTTTCTGGCTCGGAAACTGCCTGATAACTTTAATGAAGCCAAGTTTATAACCTTTAGCATGCTGATATTCTGCGCTGTATGGATCACTTTCATCCCAGCGTATGTAAGCTCTCCTGGAAAGTTTAGTGTTGCTGTAGAGATATTTGCTATTCTGTCCTCCAGTTTTGGACTGCTCTTTTGTATTTTCATCCCAAAATGTTATATCATCTTACTCAAACCAGAGAGGAATACAAAAAAATATATAATGGGAAAGGGAGCCCTAAAATAATTATGGAACCCTATAATTAGATTTGTTTATTTTAATGTGTTTCCAACTGTGAGTTATTTTACTGTGTAACGGAGCATATTGAGATGACTCCTTTTAATAGAATACAAGTTTCAACCAATATGTATATATGCAAATAAAAAAATAATACAATTATATGCAGACCCAAAATACCAATTTCCTATGTGATTTCAGATTAATTGCCAGAAATTGTTATTCAAATAATAAAATCAACATTGTCTCGCATAAAACATTTGACTAAACTATCTCGTCTCCTGAGACTTCTTTTCAAGCAGGAAAATGCCCTTCTTGTTATTGATAGTGTATAAAGGGGTGTCATGAGCTCGCAAGCAGATTTTACATAGTAAAAAACTGTAAATTATAGTGTCCGTCCAAAAATTCTTTTTTACTTATAGTGAAAACTACCCTTGGATGATGGGTTAGTAGACTAAAAGCTTTAGGAATCCAAAGTACAACATATATTAAGTACCCTGTATCAAGATTGATGCAAAACAAGTTAAATTTGACCTTTTTAGAGAGATTTAGCCAAAAAAACCCACATCTGAGGTGATTTGGGTGAAAATGTTTTTTTTTCCATATCTCTGGCCCCCCTTGGTCGATTTGGATGGTTGACACCTCTTTCTGACCGTTAGAGCCAATATAATCAAAGGGGGAGTCCCCCACACACACACGTTGTGAAGAGAAGAGGTGGGGGCTTCGCGCATGTAATTTAGCATCAGAGTGGACCTATCTCTAGCTCTGACATTTGGAAATGAAAAAGCAGTTTTATTGCTTAGGGATTATCAGAAATCATTTCAAAGAGGACACAGACACATTGGATTAACCTATGGATTAACTGCAGCATCGTTTTTTTATCGTTTTAATGCCATTGAAGACCAGTTTTGACCAAGGTAAGCCATGTTAGCGTTTCTAGCTACCTAGCTCCACATGTTCTGATGTACGCTTTCGTTTATAGCGTCGCAAATATTTATCACTGAGTGTTGAGGTTTTTTACACAGATTCTGTGTCTCCAGGAGATGCTAATCGATGGGTTGGCAGGGCATTTAGGATAAGTAATAAGGGAGTTATGAATGAGTTTAGGTGCCGTTTTAGGTTACATTTTTTCGCTCGTGGCTAATTCAGAGGCTGAGTGTTAGCATTGTGGGGGTTTTTTGGAAATTTTTTTTTAAAAGATCAGTTAGCTGAGTTTCTTCCCGTTACATGGATATAAAACATTCATAGTTTATTAAATATTAAGATTCCTTAGATGTTGTTTCCTGCAAATGACGCGTTTATCCGCCCGGTACCGGGGGGCGGTGCGTAACAGGTTAACCCTGCTGAAAAAACCAACATAGACCAGCTTAAGATGGTTGCTGGTTTTAGCTGGTTTTAGCTGGTTTTAGCTGGTGTTAGGCTGGTTTTAGCTGGTGTTAGGCTGGTGTTAGGCTGGTTTAGTTGGTTTACCAGGCTGGACAAGCTGGCCAGGCTGTTCTGGCTGGTTCAAGACCAGCCTGGTCAGCTAAACCAGCATAGACCAGCATGGATGTCATGCTGGTCTATGCTGGTTTTAGCTGGTAGTTAAGCTGGATGCTGGTGAAGCTGGTATTTATGCTGGTCTACCAGCAGTCTTGCTGGCTAAACTGAAACAGACACAGACAGACAGAGAGGGCGGGACACGGGGGGACGGCAGTGGTTGAAACAAAGCGGTATGTTTTGACTGGCACTAACGGCACTAACGGCACAACGGTTGAGGAGTGAAGATCAGTTGAGCGTTTCTGTGACTCCGCCCAGCGGCTGCTCTTCTGAGAGGCACCGCTCTGACAGCTCTGTCTACTGGGAAACGCGCTAAAAGTCCTTCTGGAGGTAAGCAACACTACACAATTTCACCAAGTCTGAGAGTAAAAGCTTTCTCGAAGGTTCGTTTTGCTTTCTTACAACGTTACGTTAATGTTAACGTAACCTTACGTTTGCTAGGAGGCTAGCTGTCTTAGCTAACAACAGTTAGCAGCTAACGTTTTCTGTAGTTTGTGTTTCCCCTGAAAAACGTGATGTAGTTATTTAAGGGTAAGTTAACTTAACGTTATCTTACAAGTTGAGAGAGTTACGTTTTGTTTAAAATCGTCAATGTAATGCCATTAGAGGTTTTGTGTTGAACATGAAGTTAGCTAACTGTAGCTCTCTACCAAAGGTTAGCATGTTAAGCTGTACTTTGTGTGGCAGCTCGCTTAATACAAAGAGGGTTTTTGTGCTTCATTGTAAACTTTTCTTACAAATGTGTGTTCATCTATCTGAAATTGTAGGGACAGTTTTTTTCTACTCAATGATACAGACCATTGTTGAGGAGATGCAAAACAAACTGTAAATGAGTTGGGTCTGACATATACTTTGAGTAATGTTACTTTGCTGCTAAAAAATGAAACATTATCAGAAGAGGATATCACCAAAGTGTGTGATTCTGTCGGGGGATTTGATCTGTTCTCTGCATGTCGTACAGGGCCTATGTACACACTGCTCTGGTATTAATTAAAAATATAATTGTAAAATGTAAGTCTCCCGCTCTTGTCATCGTTCAGGCTTTGCATTTGAACTCCTATGACTGGTTGCGGACTTGAAGGGAATAACTTCCTGGCCTTCCTAACATCCAGGAAAAAGGTGAGATTCTAATCCATTTCAATGCCAAAAGCAAGTTATTGTTTTTAACTTTTTTAATATGATTCTTTGGGGAATTTCAGTTTTATTGGACAGTAGAGATCTAATGGAAACAGTGGAGAGGGAGGAGAAAGGCCGAGCCGGATGGTTGCTGCTCCATGTGGAACGTGTTCTATCAGGTAAAGCACTTTGGTACCCAGTTATTTATGGTATTGAATTTGAATTTAGCCTTTGGAAGGTATTTTCCAACAGTGCATTGTAAAGACTGAAAAAACAGGCTCAGGTTAAAGCTTGACATGATTTGGTCTTTTACTTAAAGGTGGGGTAGGTAATTTTGGAGAAACCAGCTCGAGTGCGCTAGAATTTGAAAATACACAACCGGAAAAAATCTGCCACTTCCTTACAGAGCCCCTCCTCCAACACACACGAACGCGCACATGACCAATGAGGGCACGAGTTAAGTTTGTGCACAGATGGAAGGCTGACAGGCAGGTAGGCCATCCAGTTACTTTAGCCGGGCCGGCTAAAATGATTGGTCGTGCTTTTTACAGTACTACGGCTTCCACAGATGACATTTTTTATGGATTTTTTGTCAAAGCACTTAAGATATTCATTGCTATCGGGATGTTAAGAGCATTCCATGGAATATAACAAAAAGTGTATCTCGAGCCGGTTTCTCAAACTTACCTACCCCACCTTTAAGAGGATGTTTGTACTCCTGTCTTATTTTATTTCCTTATATTTCTTTCAGGTGTAACATCTACCAATGGTTGTACATAGACCTCCTCCACCTCTTTGCTGTCCTACTAGTCAACCCTCCTGATCAGAGCCTTTCCTAAATAGTGGTAAGTTGTTTTACAGTTCAGTGTACGTTAATTTAGCAACTTAATGCTTTACTGCTGTTCAATAAACCCTATATATATACATCCATCAGCAATCAATAAAACAAATCATCCAACACAAAATAGAAGAAATCTATTTATTTTTATACAACAGCATTGGGACTGCGCATTGATGTCATCAAGAGCCATTGAGTCTACCTTTTGTAGTCGGCCTCTCAGAATGTTTATCATTTCTTTGTCTCTTAACATTCCTATAATCATTTGTTTTTTTATTGTTGGTATTGTTTTGTTCTTTATTTTTGTTGGGAGAATCATTTTGCAATTGTGTAAGTGCTATATAAATAGTTATACTAATATAATTGTTGTTACCATCATTACTATTATTAAAAATGTTTTCTTTGTTTTCTTTATTCATCGCTGCAGAAAGGATCATGCCAGCCCACATCAAACACCTGATCAAGAACTTGTGAATCTTCAGGCAGAAAAGATGAAAACACCTGTTCAAAGTTCCAGTTTCCTGTACATCGAACCATGCATGTACTCTGTTCCACATGTCTTCAGTCAGTTCTGGACCCCATGACTCGGACACTAGTTCTACCAAGACTCATTAGAGGTAAGCAGTGGTAGGAGAGTGGAGTTATCTTTGTATTTAGGCTGCAAGTCGACAAGAATAGATTACAAATCGCTTAAAAAATTGTTCAGACAAGAGGCACCATGTGTTACCGCAGGTGTGGCGCTGATATAGTCTATATAATATGCAGTTGAACTTTAAAATTACATTATTTCCGGTGCAGAGACAAACACTCGAGGTGGATGTATAAAGTACATACTGGTGTTAATATAATATAGCGTATATCCCTCAATTTATCGACAATAACAATGACAATACATACTTCCGGGTGTAAAGTAATATATCTATCATACTGTAGCAGGGTGTCCGCGGGGTCTTAAAAAGTATTAAAAGTTGATAAATCAATTTAGCGAAAATGAAGGCCATTTCAAAGTATTAAACGGCATTTTCCAAGGTATTACATTTTGTAGCTTGTTTTCAATAAGTATATAAATTGTCCAAAGAGGTGTATTCTACAGTTTGCCTGAATGTAATCATTGCGTAGGTGTGTGTGTAGTGTGATTCTGTGTAGTTTATTTATGGCATCCCGTTGGATTTGACGTCATCTGAACAGGACATCGCACACTCACTGCTTGATAGCGCGCGAAGGTCCGTTTACGCCGGTTGTTAAACAACATCGTTATGGGGAAATGCAAGTTTGCGTCCAAATGGTTGGAAGATAAGGAGGAAGGACAATCAATACTGTATATAGTAAATGTGAGGTAAAGTGTAACCGGTTAAAACTCAAAGTGGCGATGAGGTCTTAAAATGTATGGAAAGGGTCTTAAAAAAGGTCTTAAAAGGTATTACATTTGACTTCAGGATTCCTGTATATACCCTGTGTAGATCCTACACATCCACTGGAGGTAGATTCTGAAAGTAAAATATACACTTCTCACTAGAAATGTAATCATAAAGCATTATTATGGCCAAACTATCCTACAATTTAGGATTTTCCACTGAAAAAAGTGTTGGATTCAAGATTCAAAGGTTTTATTCTACATAAGCAGCTACAGTGTAGAAATGTCAATGCAATTCTTCTGACCTGAGCTCCTCCAACAATACAACATATATAATAAAATACAAAAATACAAAATAAAAAGTAGTGCAAAAAGTTTATATACATTTAATGTAATAGAATATGATATTTACAAGAACAGAATATGAAATTAAATAATGTAAATTAAGAAAAAAATGTAATATGGTGTATTGCGTGGATAATAGACACAGTGAATCACAGTGAATGTTCAAAACTAAATTTGATACATTTTTCTTTTTCATCTCACAGTGCACATATTTAAGTAATAATAACACAAAGCTAAAAGTTAATCTGTTTTTCCTTTCTCTTTTCAAGAGTGCTTCAGAGGATGGCTGAATTCACAAAACGTGAAGAAGACAGAGAGGGAAAAGTTGGCCGGTTACTACATTTCACAAAAAATACAGGACCTTGTGAAAAGCGGAAAGAAACAGTTGAAGGAAACTGCTTAAAAATATGAAGTAATGGGTGTTTTGAAAATGTTTTCAAATTTGTGTTAATGTTCATTGTGTGTTATAAATTATTTTCCTGCTTCTAATCATTTGATGTATGAGTATTTATTTACAGACAATACTACATTCTGGTACCTTTCTGGTAAGGTGGGTGCTCTGATCTGAAATGATAGATTGAGCTACTGCAATTGGGTGAGAGTGTTTCGTCATCATATATGACCAGCTTAACTATCAAGTAATCCCAGCTAAAGTTCTACTCAAGATCATACAAGTCTGACCAGCTAATGGTGACCAGCTAGAACACTGTGACCACCAGCTTTTACCAGCTAAACCAGCTATCCTGACCAGCTAATGGTGACCAGCTACTAGACCACTGTGACCACCAGCTTTTACCAGCTAAACCAGCTATCCCAACCAGCTAATGGTGACCAGCTAGACCACTGTGACCAAACCAGCTATCCTGACCAGCTAAAGTGTCCAAAACCCCTCTTAACCAGCAAACTAATCCAGCCTAATATTGACTGGCTGGTCAGGCTGGTTTACCAGTCTGACCAGCCTGACCAGCCTTGTTGGTCTTAGCTGTTTTTTTCAGCAGGGAACAAACTAACAAACTTCCTCTGGAGTTCACAGTGTCCCCAGCCTGCCTCCACACCTGTCCCCTCAGCCTATACTGGAAACTTCCCCTCAGGCCTGTTGCATCATGATAATCATAATTACAGATGGAGCCTCTTATTTTGGACCCCAGCATACAGCTTCCTGCCGACTGCCAGCCAGTTGCCAGCCAGTTGCCTGCCAAAGACCAGTATTCAGGAATGTTAGGCCCTCCCACTATTCTCCAATTTCAGGGTTTAACCAGGAGATGGCGCTATATATTAAATAACTAAGACTTAGTTTTTCACAATAGAAAATGCAGATATTATATAAAAAACTAAAGTTAAAATCTTGTTTTTAATGCCCCAAGAGCAATAACATCTTGTCACAAGCTTTTTGGAAGAAAAAGACTGACTCAAGAGACCTGTAGTTGACTAATTACAGGCCTCAATAAAGTTCTGCCATTGGTTGTGAAAAACAACGGTGGACATAGTGGAAAGTGAAATTGACATTGTCGAATTTAATAAAAATACAAAATAATGTATCTGTGTACGTGTTTTACTATGTGATCTGCACTTATCAAACATCTAATTAAGGCGAGACACCCCAGGTGAATAGGGTATTTTTAACTTAAAGATATCAGCTAAATATTTCTCCAGTTAATTACTTACAATAAGGCAATTGTTTTTTGTATTACAAGTTTTCTGAAATAGCATGTTTAAATATCCAAATGAACCATTATCTCATGAAATATGCGCATATTTTAACACATTTCAGGAACCGAAATCTGAACTTTGGATAAAGCCAGGATCAAAATTATTGTTTCATTTTGTAGTCATATTAGTATCTAAGGCTTTTACAGAAGGGATTTTGGATATCTCTTTGTATCACTCCATAAATCAGAAAATACTGTCAACAGCCCTAAAATATCAATTTTCACCATGTTTTTAGGTATAAAATGTTATATAATTCAGGCTATGAATTATATATGACCAAACCCTTCTGTAAAAGCCTTCATAATATTGATAGGAATATAACTGGAAGGTTTGGTGTATGTAACTGCTGAGTGATTCTACAATTTAGGGTACATTCCATGTCCATTGATGTCCATTGATGATAATTATAATTATTCTAACTATTTTCTTCAAAAAGATCATATTTTGCCTATTATTGGAAAGCATGTTATAATATCACACAAACATTATGTGCATCCTATGCTTTATTTAGCTTGAAATGTGTCATGATGTTCTTAAATTGTCAGTTTTTGCTATGTCCGTTTTTCAGTTGAGGGTGTCTTGGATTCAAAATAATGAATAAAAACCATTAAAGTAAATTTAAAAAATGATTCATTTATTTCAAAAGTCTAAATACTAAAGAATAATAACATATTTTTAATTGATTTCCCCCTTTAAATAATTTAAATATCTTAATATATGAATGTCCGCAAAAGTTCTGTCAACTATGTTACTAACAGAACTTCCCCCTTTAACTCAAAAATTGTTTGTCCCAATACCATGTCACCAGCATCACATGATGCCATGTTCCTCTTTGGCAGACATTTTGAACACACTGTGGTGATTGTCCTCTACATTT